AGAATAATAGCTTATTTTAAAAAAGGACTATGCTAGTTCTATAAGGTATCCAAAGCTTATTTGATAAAAATTCCAGGCTCTATAAATTTATAGAAGAATGGGAAATAATTTTCTTTTATCAGTAAATTATATCATTGTACCTAAAATGTTTCGATTTGGCTTTGATTTTAAGAAATGCAAGGAAATATAAAATGGTTTACATTAATTATATATTATACATATTTATATGCAAATATTTACAATATGTATTAAAATGTATATCTGGTATATTATTCAACCTTGTGAATTTAGGAAAAAAGAGATTTATACATTTTAAAACTTCCTTGTATGAAAAAAAATTCTGGAAACCGTAAGTGTGAGCTATCTACATTAAGTGTTTCTGTGTTTGCCAAAACAGTATTACAGCCCAAAGGGGAATGGCTGAGGACAGATAACTTGGCCAAATGTCCCCGGCTAGAAAACCAAGGAGATTGCATCAAACTCACTCCAAAAGCCAATCAAAGAATAACTTAAAACTGCTGTCACTCACTTAGATTTTGCTTCCTGGTCCTTAGTGGTAGCTGATGAGGTTTAGAAATAAGCACATGTATCTGTCTATACTGAAGGGAAGAAAATAAATCTACTATGGCACCAGTTCAAAACACTGCATGAGCAGTCGAGAGAAACAATTTACCAGAACATGCTTAATGGTAAATCAGAAATGACATGTATGAAATGACATGTATGAAAACATGGGGCTGCAACTTGAAAATGTTGGAAAATGAGTCATCTATCAGATCTTGGACTGATAACACTTTGTAAGTTGCAATTGCTGGATATCATGTATCTATGTGATCATTCTGTAATGATGAATGGTTCATGTTCACACAGCTTCAAATGCCTGATTTCTGAAATGATCAACTATTTATTAGCTGTAAGGTAAGGGGAATGATGCATATTATCTTCTCCTGTGCTTAGAGGAGTTGTTAAAATTCATTTATGGAGCTACAAAGATTATGACATGCAATAAAACTTCTAAACTATGTAATAACATCCAAGGTAGGATTTTGTGGATTATGTGTTAGTAATGATATTTAAAGAGAATATTAACATTTTGTTAAGCAAATATATTAATATATTAATTATGTGATAATTTTAATTTTAATTACAATAAATTAATTTTATCATAAGCATCTTCTTTTCTATTTATACATAAAACTCTTACAAATTCAAATAATAAAAAATGATGTTTTTAATCTGTACTCAAGAATAGACAGTCATATGTTTTATATATAAAGAGAGTCTATTTCAACATGGCAAAACTCCTTCTCTACTAAATATACAAAAATTACCTGGGCATGGTGATGCATGCCTGTGGTCCTAGCTACTCGGGAGTCTGAGATGGGAGGATGACTTGAGGCCAGCGGGCAGAGGTTGCAGTGATCTATGATTACACCACTGGCCTCCAGCCTAGATGACAGAGCGAGACTCTGTCATAAAATAAATAAAAAATAAAATAATAAATAAAATAAAATAAAATAAAATAGAAGGCGTATAGGTCAGCTGGATGCAGTGGCCCATGTCTGTAATCCCAGCACTTTGGGAAGTTGAGGCAGGAGGATCACTTGAGGCCAGGAGTTCAAGACCAGTCTGGGCAACACACTGAGACCACGTCTCTAGAAAACACACACAAAAAAATTAGCCAGCATGGTAGCACACGCCTATATTCCCAGGTACTCGGGAGGCCTGAAGTGAGAGGATCACTTTAGCCATCGCATACAATTTGCAGCCAGGTGGCAGACAGTACAGACCTCAAAGCCTCCATTAACTCAATGAACCCCTTCCCCAGCACACGGACACATACATAAAGACTTACACTCATGTCGCTTGCTTATGGGAGCCGGTGTTTCTCCTTGGGGGTAGCAAGGATGAGCTTTTTATTGTCACTGTAGCTTCTCGGCTTATGCAAGTCAACACCTTTGGACAAGGGCTGAGAAGAAGATGGAATCCATCCTACCTCCCTCTTTATAATGGTGCCATTAAAAAAATTATTTTGTAGAGACGAGATCTTGCTATATTGGCCAGGGTGGTCTCAAACTCCTGGCCACAAGTGATTCTCCCACCTCTGCCTCCCAAAGCGCTGGATTGCAGGCATGAGCTACTGTGCCCACCTAAAACAATGCTATTTTAAAGGTGAGGTGCATTTAAAGAAAGGGTGTATTTGGTAGGCAAAATAAGTACCCTCCAAAGATGTCCAGGAACTCATCCCTGGAACCTGTGAACGTGTGAGACGACAAGGCAAGGGAGGAAATGAACTGGAAGGTGCTAATGACAGGTACCAATCAGCTGACCTGCAACATGGATATTATCCTGGGTTATCTCTAGGGGAGTCCAGTGGAATCCCAAGGGTCTTTCTAAGTGTGAGAGAGGCAGGAGAAAGGAACCAGACAGCCACATGAGAAGGCTCTGACCCCCCAAAATACTGGCTTTTAAGATGAAGAAAGAGGCCATGAGATAAGGAATGATAGGAGCTTTCAGAATCTGAAAAACATAAGCAAACAGCTCCTCCCCTACAACCCCCAGAAGGGACACTGCCCCACTGCCATCTTGAATGTTAACCCAAAGGCACTCAGTCCAGACTTTACATTGAAACTACAGAACTGCAGGGTAATAAATGTTTGTTTTTATGTTTAATTCCAAACATTTCAGAAACTTATTTTAATTGACAAACTTAAATGATATATACCATCTACAACAGGTTGCTTTGAAATATGTATATATTGTGAAATAGCTATGTCAAGCTAGTTGACATTTGCATTACTTCACCTAAGTATAATTTTCTTTGTGGTGAGAACTCTTAAAATCTACCCTCTTAGCAATCTTTAAAAATCCAGTATTATCATTATCTGTTGTCACCATGTTTTACAATAGAGCTCTTGAACTTATTCCTCCTGTCTAACTGAAATCTTGTACCCTTTGGCCAACATCTCCCCAACCTTCCACCTCCCCCAGCTCCTGGTAACCATCATTCTATTCTCTGTTTCTGTGAGTTCAGCTGTTTTAGATTCCATATAAAAATGAGATAATGCAGCCAGGCTCGGTGGCTCACGCCTGTAATCCCAGCAATTTGGGAGGCTGAGGTGGAAATATCACTTGAAGCCAGGAATTTGAGATTGGCCTGGGCAACACAGGGAGACTGCATCTCTCAAAAGAATATATATTTTAGTTGGGCGTGGTGTGCACACCTGTGTTACCAGACACTCTGAAGGCTGAGGTGGGAGGATCGCTTGAACCCAAAATGTCAAGGTTGCAGTGAGCTATGATCACACCACTACTGCACTCCGGCTCGGCCAGAGTGAGACAATATCTCTAAAAAAAAAAAAAAAAAAAAAAATGTGACTTCAAGTACACAGTTACTCACTTGATAGTAAGGGGTGGTATAAATATCAACTGTTCCATCACTAAGTACATTTTGGCTTCTTTCTCATCCATCCACTATAGAAGAAATAGTCAGATAGCCCAGTATGTACAATAGAACTCGCACATGAACCTCTGCAGTGCTTATTTTGCCTCTGTAACTACTGAAAGAAATCTCAAATAAGGATCTTCTTAGAAACTTAAAGTAGTACTTAGGAGTACTTAGTACTACCAACACACGCTTTGGGTAAAAGGAAAGTTCTTTACAAAAATGCAAACTTTAGGAATTAAATGCTCCCCACAGGGACTAACTTATTCCTGTATAAGTGATTATAGGCAGAAAAACAGAATCTGAATGAACTTGCTTTTTTTCTTAAACTTGGAAAACCTAGAAAAGGTAAGAGTGGTATATAGGGGCCAATTAAAATAAAAAGCACAAGGAAAAATGAGAGGAAGTCGCTCCTGTCCTCCCAATGAGGGTATTGTGTTTTGAACAATTCATGAATGTAATTTCAGAAACTCAGCAAAAGAATGCATTTAACTGACTTACTCCAAATATATTCTGAATTTCGTATTTACTAAATAAAGTGTTTCCAAATGAACATTTTTTTACATGTTGTTACATGTAAAATTCCTTTTACATGCAAAAACGTGTACATCTTTTAAACATGTTTTTGCATGCAAAAATATCTTTTTAAACATGTTATATGTTGTTACATGTGAAAATTGCACATTAAGAAAAGGAAAGGTAGGTGAATTCATCATTCAAGTTTTTAGATGCAGGTAGACTTAAACTTCCACATAATCCATGAATATTAAGCTGGAAAAACAAAGCACTCTACATAATTTACCTTGCCACAGATGTGAAATAATTGTAAGCATACATAAATGTTAACGAAATACTTTCATTCAGTGCTAAGGGGAGGTATCATTGAATGATGGACCAAAACAAACTACATGGCATTTTGATGTCTGTGGAAATGACATGCCCACAAAGCAGTGGCTCGACACTGATATTAATATATCTTGCTCAGTTGCCTTAATTATTTATAGTAGTTTAATTTTTTCAAGAACACAAATGTTAAAGTATTTTAAATAATTTTGATAAGGCCATAGAATGTATCTATTTTTTGAATTCCTACTTTCATTGGAATTGCCTCTTTATCCTAATGAGTAAATACAAAAGAATGCATAGATAGGATAGCTTTTGTCATCGTCTTCTTGTTTTCTGAGAAAGAGTCTTGCTCTTGTCGGCCAGGCTGGAGTGCAGTGGCACAGTCTTGGCTCACTGCAACCTCCAACTCCGGGGTTCAAGCGATCCTCCTGCCTCAGCCTCCTGAGTAGCTGGGACTACAGGTGCATGCCACCATGCCTGGCCAATTTTTGTATTTTTAGTAGAGATGGGGTTTCACCATGTTGGCCAGGCTGGTCTCAAATTCCTGACCTCAAGTGATCCACTCCCCTCGGCCTCCCAAAGTGCTGGGATTACAGGCATGAGCCACCGCACCCAGCAGGTTTTGTCTTCTTTTACTAAAGAAAAATGTACTTTTCTATGCCCGTGCTTTCTACATTTTTGGAACTGATACAGATCCACAGAGGCGAACTGAAATCTAAATCATCTTTAATGTTAAAATTTAATTGACCGTGTACATAACTATGCAATCCCTGCTTTCTCACAGAAGTGTCTAGGATTCATTCAACAGATCATAGAAACAAGGTCTGGCATTTAACAGACAAATGACAGAGGAGCTATACTGATTTATACAAAAATTATCAAAACACTGTCATGCAGTTTACTGTAGTTCAAGTTGTGCTTGTATCATATAACATAGGTTCAAGTTCTTTCTTCAGTCATCAGAATAACAGAGGTTGAAGAGACAACTAAGTGTCAACTCTTCCAAAAGCTGTTTCAAAAAAAATTTAAGTAACCGTGATACACATTTCTGCAAATAAAATATTCCAGTGCTTATATCAATCCTGAGTTTTTAATATTTAAATATGCACTACTTACAGTTCTGACACGAGTTTATTTAAAAACACGGCTAGTTATCAAGTTCACTTTCTTCATCGGAAGAAATGATGCAATAATTGTCTTTAGAGTCCTTGGTAGCCTAAAAGAAAAAGTCTAGTTCACTGACAAACCACCACTTTACATCTCACGTTTTAAACAGGGTTAATCAGATGTCAAAAGGAAACAACTTTTAATATTCAAAGGATGCTGGTTATTTATTTCAAAGTGAAGAAAACTGTAATCAATACATGGAGCTCCAAATACCCACTTAAATTTTTTAATGCCAGATTTCAGTGAAGTATTATTTTAGCAGGTCCAACTGTCATGTACTTTGCTTGAATAAAATGGGTTGATGAGCATCTTAAGGTCAAGATGGAGCAAAGACAGAAAAAGATAGGCAGGCTTATATCGTGAAATATATTTTTTCAGCAGGATTATCAGCAATAGTCTACGTAACGTGGTTTCCACTGAAGGGATAAAATGGTCGGTGATATGACCTCATCAAGTTAGAGAAAACGTAACTATGTTTGAAACATACACTATTCCCTCAACAAATAGTTCAACAGTTCCTACTCCCTAAAATGTTGTATGTTAATGCTGAGGAAGATGTAAAAAATGTAAGCATAATCTCTTCCATAATCCTGTGACATAAGCAAATGCACAAACAAAAAAATTAATACAAAAATTGTGTAATGCTATGGAAGGGCAACTCACTCAGACGTGTAGCCAAAAATGGAGACTGATGTTGACTTAGTTGGCAAAAGGTTTAAATTGGTCGAAAAATTTTTTTAAAGCATTGTGAGGGAAGAGCATGAGTAAAGCATGAGCGTAACAGTGAATTCCTTCAGGGAAAGCTGTCAACCTGGATAGGCAGGAGCAAAGACAGAGGGCGGCAAAACAAGCCTAAGAGGGGTCACGTAAAGTGGGGAGTCTCTGAACATCTAAGAACTGAGACGGGGCACCACTGACAGGCTGGGAAGAGCGAAGGGTTAGGAAGCATTTTAGGAAGGGGAGGGTTGTAGGAAGGTAATATTGCCGATCAATGAAGGATGGCTCAGAAGAGAAGAGAGAACTCAGAAAAGAGTTTAATAGTACAAGTAAGGAAGAATGAGGTCTTGAACTAGGGCAGCTGCAGTGGGAATTTTAAAAAAAGAAATTTAAGGGCCATTACAGAGGTAAAACTTGCCTCATGGTAACTGTATGGGAAGGATAAGGGACTCAGAAGAGTCCAAGACGATAGCAAAGTTCCTACCTTAAGTGGTAACATGCAGCATTAACACTGACAGGAAAACTTCTAGTTTCATGTTCATACCAATTAATAAATGGTTTCTGGGGAACATTATAGCAGCATGTTCTCTACTTGTGACTTCTATTTAAATAACTGTTAGATCATTCTCAAGTTGCTTGAAAATGTTATTTTCAAACTCTTTTCTCAGTTTATTTAACACATCTCAGTTAGTGTAGAAGAGTGACATATGAACATGTATTTTCACAAGGTTATTAAAAAGAATACCTTATTTCCCAGAAAAGAATTCCACTATTACCTAAATAATATACATCTACATGAAGAAGTGATTGTCCGATGACAACTTGCTAATGTGCTATACGACAGCAGATAATTCACAATTCACAACGTGTTAATAATCAGCTGGCTTTCCCATTCTGTTATACATCTGAATCATCCCTTATTATTACAAATTGTCATGTAAAACCATTACTGATAATTTTGTAAGTGAATATGCCATAAAACACTCCTATATTATAGCAGGAAATAAAAGAGACACTCAGTAGTTACACTTGCCTACTTCCTATTTAAAACTCTTGAAACATCACAAGTAAAAAAGACACCCAGAAAGGATTTATGGTCTTCTTGCCTTCCACCATAGATTTGTCACTGACGTCCTGAAAACTGAAAATAAAATCATTAAAACTCATTTATGCCTAGTGTTCCATTATTGGAACGCTAACCTTGTGGGAGTCATGTATATCCTACCACTCAAGATCATCGCCAAGGTCTGATTTTTCACACACAAAAAACATGCAGCCTCTGGCATAAATGGGTCAATGTGTTAATAAAATGTCAATTTTATACACAAGATGTATATTTCCAGGTAAAATTTCCAATTTACCTTTTCCTGTTCTAAGTAACTCCCACAAAACTATTCATGAATCCTAAAAATACATTTACCAATTATGTTAAATTTGGAACAATACATTCAAAGTGAAAATGGTAAGTAATTTAAAATGTATAACCAAAATGTCTTTCCATACATCCAGAAACAAGAAGACTTTCTTCTATTATGCACGTGGTGTATTTTATAATGTATTATGTTACCAAATAGAACAGACCTTTATGAATTGCTCATGTAGCAGCTTCACCTCTTTCAGCCCCCCTCTCCTAACACTTGTATGTTGTTGACACCTCTTCTGTTTTTCTTGAAATGCTTTCTAGAAGTACAAAAAAGTAGTGATGAAAATTGGGTAACTTTTAATACTTACAAAACATAATTCTGCATTAGCTTTGTAGGAATACTCTTTAAATCTATACTTCTTAACGCTTTCTTTTAAACAACGTTTATGAACAATTTTAAAGAACTGTGTTCACCACTCATATGCTAAAATGATATAATGACCTTTTTCATCAGTCATTGAGTAAGGAATTTTCTTTCTTCTACATACATATTCAACACATATGTCTTAATTCTTGATTTCAAATGTAGAGTATATGATGACCCTTCCTATAATTTGTTGACTACAGATGGGTAAGATTTATACAGAAATTAACTAAGAAACATTATCTCTTACTAAGATTTTAAACTGGTATTAAATCTTGGTCATTTCAGTATGCACATAGATGAGCCTTACAAAAATGATGGCCTTTCTGCACCTTGACCTAATCTCCAACAACAGTGTTCTCCTCTCCTCTACATGGCACTCACTTATACAGTCATCCCTTAGATTTTGTCATTCCCAATGACTGCAACACCTACGTAATATTAATAATAGCAATGATAAAGAGCAATCATGGGTCAGATCACATCCTGAAAAACTTAAATAAACCCGTTACACAGGAACCTTTCAATCCTCCAAATAACTCTGACATAGGTACTCTTACCATGTCTCCTTTTGTAGACAAGGAAATTTCGGCACAGAGATAAATAGTTTGCCCGTGGTTCCTGAGCTAGCAATGGTCAAGCTGGAGTTGAATCACAAGCAGTGGGGCTGCAGTGCCCCAGCCCTTGACCACTGCACTCAGCTGTTTCTCCATCTTCCCAACATACAGCCACTACCTTCCTGCCACTGTAGGTCACTCACTTCAGTACTACAGCTCAGGAGTCTACTGGGATATGACACCCACCGAATGGAACACTTTTCACTGCCCATTGCCCACCCCCATGTGCTCAGGTAACTCAGTTCCAGCTGAAATTCCACAGCCAGTCATCATATCCCCATCCCTGCGTCTATTCCCTGCCCAACTCTTCCTCTATCAACGTGCTTGGCTACACCCCAACCCAGGAAATTCCAACCCTACAGCTGCTTTTGCACAAATATGCCAACTGGGCTCACTCTGACTTCTTAATCGCTATGATGCTGACCTCAGTTGGACCACAAATGCTTCATGGCAATTATATTCCCCTGGTACATGAGTCCACTAACGGGCCCCCTCTCTGGGCTCATGCTCTCTTCCTTCTTTGCTGGATTTCTGCATGAACAATTACTCCCTGAGACACTGATACAATAGGTTAATCATAAAGCTAAGCCTGATACCAACAATTACTTCTTCTTCTGTTTCTTCTCCTTCTCCTCCTTCTTTCTCCTCTTCCTCCTCCTTCTCCTCCTCCTCTTGTTCTTCTACTACTATTACTTCTGCTGCTGCTGCTGCTGCTGCTGCTGCTGCTGCTGCTGCTTCTACTTCCTCATCATCTTTCTGCTTGTCTGCGATGTATTCTTTAAGGACATTCAGCAACTTCCGAGTATGTCTATAATCACGTTTCTGCCTGTAACACATAATATGTAACACTGTCATATGTCATAGAGAGATGAAAAATTAATCCTATTCAAACTAAAACAGACTTGACATAATTTATACTATAAAGTAGCAAGGGAGTAATAGCAGCTGAAATCTTTTTGGGAAAAGGTGAAATGAGTTACTCTCATTCTGAAAGGATCCCTTCCTAACTGACTACTAGAGCAGCTATCTCACATTATTTACATGCTGAAGACAAAGGAGGGTTTATAGCACTATAAATTTCCCAGAAACAATCATTTTCTCTAACAGCAGTTTACTTTTCATTTTCTCAAACTAAACAACATATGGGTTCTCATAAGTAAGTTCAAGAATATAACAGCCATTCATCCTGTAAGATTTCCCAAAAGAAATGCTTCACTTAACTATTTCTCCACATTGGCACAACGGTGATTTTCTAAAGGGAATAGTGAAAACAATTTAACTAAAATAGATAACTTATTTACAACATAAGGTTGTCCCTTTCCACATAACTTAATATTGTTAAGGATCTACAGACTAAACGTTGAAGACATTTATCTTACATGCAGCTGCCGTATTTCTAGAAACGGATAAAAATTAATTTTACAGGAAGACTATTTTTATCTGGAAGGCAAAAAGAGGTCATCTTCATTGGCTTCTAGGTAATATCTCTCAATTCTGTTAAACTGAGGTTATAAAACTAAAGAAACTTACCTGCTTAGGGAACAATCAAGTAAAATATGTTGTTCCCTAGAGACACCAATATGTACAGGATAGTTTTTGAAATTATTTGCACCAACAAATACAAAGAAATGATATAAATATCATTATGCAAAAAAGCCAACAATCATACCTTTTTAGTTGTTTTTTTCTCAAAGCACGTTCAATTGTGTTCTTGGTTTTCCTATAAGCGGCTTTATCTATTTTTATCATTTTTCTTTTTGCAGCAAGGTCCTCTTTAATGTCAGCTAGGTAGTAAATGAAAATGCATTAAAAGTTAATGCTGAAAAGTAGTTTCTTCGCATACATTGAAATCAATGTGAGACATGATGGTTCAGCAATATCGGAAGGACATTTACATTGTAAAATGCAAAGATCACTTCAAAAAGCAAGATTTACTCATTTGTTTTCTGTAAAACCTTTTAGGTATTAATATTAGCACTCTAATTCCAATTGGTATAACTGCAAATCACTTAATTGATGGATGATGAAAAAAAGCAAATAATTAAAAGTTTCTATTTTTTAAATGTGCAGAAAGGGTTACAAACACAGACTCTAATTTCTACATTTATAAAATGTCTTGTAATTTAAAGGACATGTTTCCATGAAATACTGTCACAATTCGTTATGCAAAACATACAAAAAAGTATCTTATTTAATAAGACCATCAAAAGGGTAGAAATAATACACAATAAGAAAAGCATTTTTTAAGCAATCTAGTGATTGATGCTATTAACTGTATTTTAATAAAAGAAGCATCGTCCATGGGTGTAAAAATTTAGGCTTAAGTAAAGAAATACATTCAAAAACACTTTTGAAATATTTTCTTGGAGCTTTTTAGATATTTTTATCCATAGTGTTGTGTTTCAGAAAACTGTAATACTACAAGGAATGCTTTCCTAAACATGGTTTCACATTAGAGATCTACCATCAATTGCTAAAGATAGTTTTCAGCAATCATAAAAGATCTGCACCATAATACAAGTCTCCATCTATAAGGAGTCTCCATTATATAATGGAGACTTTTTACAGTCTCCATCTATAATGCTCAGTTAGGCAGCTCACAAAACCAGCACTTAGTCACTAAGCAGAGCAAAGCTTTCCAAATATACTGCTTGTATGAATTATCGCTATAGAAGAGCTGAAAACTGAATTGAGCTTTTTAAAAATATGAGTATTGTCTCCGTCGTCTTTACAGAAATTTTCTCAATTTTTGTTGAAAATATGGTCCTATAACAGTCAGTGCAACTAACAGTTCACATGGCAATACAAAATGTATGAGCTTTTGGATCCAGTTACATGTTTCTCACTGGGTAGAAAACTTGTCTTTCTTTTTCTAGTACACAGTTTATTACTGAAATAATAATAGAATATCATCATTTTAGATAATTCGATTTTCTCTTGTACTTTAAAGAAAACAAAATCAGAATGCTGTGACAATAGAATAGCTAAATTAGGAACATAAAAACTCATATTAAAAACTCTGAGTACATACGGACAGGAAGAGGGGAACAACAGATACCTGGGCCTACTTGAGGGCAGAGGGTAGGAGGGTGATGATGAAAACCACCCACCAGGTGCCACGCTTACAACCTGGGTGACAAAATAATCTGTATACCAAACCCCTGTGACATGCAATTATCTATATAACACACCTGCACATGTACCCTCAAACCTAAAATAAAAGATAAAAAAACTTATATACTTAATCTGTGTACACTAAAAGAAACGAATACAGCTGTTTCTCCTCCAGTGTCCTCTAATATTCCCCAAATAATTAAATTTCCACGTGTATAAAAGAAAAGCCATCCCTCTCATTTCACCATTGTTAGAAGCATTCTCACATTCCACATCAACAATCAAAAAGGTAAGTATGAAAATTTATTAAACACATTACATTAAATACGTATGTTAAACGCTATATATGAGAAGAAGGCGTGTAAGACAGTCTTGTCATCCACTAATTCATATAACCTACTGTAACATTTGTATGGTTGAAAATAATTTTCAAAAACTACAAATAGCTCCTAAAACATACCTGCAATATATTCTAGCTTCATGGTATGAATCCTGTAAAAAAAAAAAAAGTTACATCAAAATTTTAACATAATGCTACACAAAATGCCATGTTTGTTGGGAAGAAATGTCTTATGTGAAATGTTCTGCATAGAATAGAACAGTGATGACATGATTCGAAGCTGACTTTTCCCAAAATACTTTATCCGACAGGCAAAAGTGACTTAAACACTTTACCCCATGTGCTCATCTTTTTCAGCAAAAGGTTCTCTTTCCCCATGCTCATCAGTTACATCTTTCTCCCTTGTTTCTGTAAAAGGGTTTCTTTCCTCATGTTCATCATTGACTGGATCCTTTCCTGCATTAAAATTTAAAAGACAAATCTTTTTTAGAGGAAAACGCTGTTGTAGACATTTTTCATGGAGAAAGGTACCATTTGTGGACTTTTTTGGTTCTCTACCAATTAAAGCTTTAAAGCAGAGCTATGCATGGAATCACTGGGCCCCTGGCCATTTTACGGAGGCATTTTTGGAAGCCCTTCGGGTTCAAGTCCCAGTAAACAACGCTCACAGGTCAGACCCCTTGGATGTTAGGACCACACTCATGGAGAAGAGCTGCTCTGAGAGCATCTGTAACCCTGCTATGAGGGGGAGCCTCCCACGGGAAGCCTTAGGCCCTCGATTCTGCTTTGAAAACCTGGGGCCTCTTAGCACATGCATGGTGGACTCCAAAGCCACGAAGGGGCCAGGGGTCTCGGGCTGCCCGTGTGCCCCCCGCGCAGAGAGCAGACAGATCGTCTCCTTGGGCGTGCACCTTCTTTCGTGGCCCCTTGGGCTGTGTTTACCTGCATGCTCCTTCACGGGGGCGGCCATAACTTGAGCCTCCAACTGAACCTTGGCAGCCCTCTTGCTGCGCTTCCTGCCCACGGGCTCCATGGTTGGCTGTTCTGGGAAGTTAGAGGCGACCCCTGAACCTGGTTGAGTGCAAAGTCAAACTCAGTAGGCTAAGGAAACAGGACATGTGAAAGGAGAGCCATCGGGATTGCGAGTTCAAGAAAGGGTGGGGCTGGCCCACCCCGTGTGTCCTGTGGGAGCAGGAGGGGACGGAGAAGATGTCAGTGTCCCCTTCTATCCTTCCCGGCCCGTCCAGCCCGTCCCTGGCGCTGGCTGCAGAACTCACAGCTGCCTCGCACACCTGAATGGCCCCTGCAGGACCCTTGCAGTGCCCTTGGGACACAGCTCGGCCCTGCCCCTGTGTTCCCCAGAGACCTGTGTGGCCCCAAGGACCATGGGTGACACAGGACCTGCCCAGCCATCTCTGGGGGAATGTCAGGGGCTGCACTCCCACTCGCCCGCCTGGATGCCCAGGTGACCCCTGGCAACTCCAAGTGTCCTGTCCTGATGGGCAGCCGGGCTGGAGGGACCCACTCGGACTGTCCCCCACAACACCCCCGCCCATCCCCTCCACACACACTCCGCCCCTCCTCCTCCCCTCCCCACAGTCCCTGCCCATTCCCTCACCCCACGCACCCCACACCCCTCCCCTCCCCTGCCCCCATCCCTGGCCCCACACCCAGCCCCCGCCTGTCTGCCACTCCCCGGACCCTCCCCCCTCCGCCACCTCCCCTCCCTTGCTCCCCTCTCCACCCCCTCCATTCCCCCACTCTCCCCTCCCCTGCCCCACCCCTCCCCCCGCACACATGCACAAGCCCCCGGGACACTCCCGGGCCCTGGGGATCACTCAGGTGTCTCCAGCTCCCTCCCTGCCCTCATCCATCCCATCCCACCCTCAGGGCCTCGCCCTGACCCAGGCCCCAGGCGACGATGCCAGGGCCATTTCTTCACAGGTCAGCCGGCCGCTCAGCGCTTCACACCCTGGTTCCCAGAGGGCCTCGTGCTCACCTTCCCGCCTCCCCACCGCGAACGCTTCACCTGAGAGATCCCTGATGCTGCTTCCTCACAGAATCTACAGACACTGGCACCACGAGGCTTTCTTACAAAAATGGGTCCTCAGTTCTCGTGAGAGCAGCTGGCCTGGCTACCCACGATCCTTGCTGATTGGTCAGCTCAGCGCGCATGCGGGTGAAGGATCGTGTGGGGCCACGCCACCTGCTGGCACGCTCTCCCCACTGCCTAAGGGGCCGCGCATGGTTGCTGTGGACTGGGGTAGGGGTGGCTCTTTGGGGCCTCTGTTGCCAGAACCTTTCAGCTCCTCCTCCTGCAGAGGCACGCAGGGACTCGGGATGGAGGCCAAGTGGATGGGGCCTAGGACCTCGCCCCTGAGCTCTTTCCAGCCACCCCTGCCCCTTTGCCTGGAATGGCCTTCGCTTTGCAGGTGGAGCCCAGGCTCCCTCCCATGCCCTGTGTGTTTCCAACATGCCCAGCTGTACCCTTTTTATCAATGGATTGTGCTTTTATGTTTTTTTGCTTGCTTGTTTGTTTGTTTTTTGAGACGGAGTCTCTCTCTGTCGCCTAGGCTGGAGTGCAGTGGCACGATCTTGGCTCACTGCAACCTCCATCTCCCGGATTCAAGCGATTCTCCCACCTTAGCCTCCCAAGGAGCTGGGATTACAGGTGCGTGCCACCATTCCCGGCTAATTTTTGTATTTTTAGTAGAGACGGGGTTTCGTCATGTTGGCCAAGCTGGTGTTGAACTCCTGACATCGAAGTGATCCACCTGCCTCAGCCTCCCAAAGTGCTGGGATTACAGGTGTGAGCCACTAAGCCCAGACCCAAAGTCGTGTTTTTAAAGGCATCAACTGTATGATGTATAGTTGTTTCCAAGAAATGACGACTAAAAGGTACTGATTGAGAAACTCTTGTCATTTCTTTCTTCAAAAAAGTCAACTCGTCTCCTGCTAGTTCTTTCCACTTAAGTTGGCCATAGAAATCCCAGGGGTGACCCTCAGGTTGTCACCTTTCTTCTTGTTGCTGTAAGGTTGGCCTGCTGACAGTAACAGATACACCCCACTCTCGGTTATTTCAGGATCAAGTAGATCCATTGGCCATGGAGTGATGGTCTTTTCAAGTCAGGCTATTTTGAGAGGTAATAAAATATTTGCGTACTTTAATTTATTTCTCTTTTGTACTTGCTTGTTTTAAAATACAGTTCTGCACATAAATATTTTTGACAAGATGAAAAATATAGATCTATTTTGTCACATTGCAAAACAAATTATTAAGTCAACAATGACTGTAAGTAGAACATTCTATTTCGTTATTAATTTTCATTAGGCTTTCAAAACATTTTTCTGTATAACATATTCAGATATTTTGAATTCAGCAATGCAGTCAGATGCTGGGTGCAGTGGCTCATGCCTGTAATCTCAGCACCTTGGGAGGCTGAGACGGGCAGATCATTGGAGGCCAGGAGTTCGAGACCACCCTGGCCAACATGGTGAAACTCCGTCTCTACCAAAATTACCAAAAAAATTAGGTGGGACCATGCCTGTAATCTCAGATACTTGGGTGGCTGAGGCGCGAGAATCGTTTGAACCCAGGAGGTGAGGTTGCAGTGAGCCGAGATCGCATCACGGCCCTCCAGCCTGGGCGACACAGCGAGACTCTGTCAAATAAAATAAAATAAAATAAATAAAATAAAATTCTTATGTGATGATTATCTGAATTGTTTCTTTTTTCTTTACTTTTATTCTACATGGGTATTACTTCACTTGTTTTAAATAGTTGTGTGTTCATAATAAAGGCTCCCTTTTCTACGTAGTTGGTTTTCCCTTCTTCCCTCAACATTTAAAAAAAAATTCTACAAAATCTAGACAATCAAGGTTCTTCCTTTTGATTTAAGCTCAATTATTAATTTCTCCCCAACATTACAGTTTTTCTGCAGCTGGAAAATGGAACCAAATGATGTCTAATTCTTCCAGCAGTGATGTGAGGAAACCTGCACAGACTATTGCTGCCCAGGGAGCTCCCCCAAGCCTGACATCCGGTGTGGTTTTGGGAGCATGAAGGCATGGCAGACTGTCTGCATGACCGAACTTAGTCGCCAGCCCCTCCAGAGGTCAAGACTGATACCAGGTGGCCCAAAGCCCCCACTATAAATCATCAGCATTAACTATCTAGCATGACTCAAAGCTCCAGGTAAACAAACACATTATGATCAGGCAGGATATTCCAAGGGCTTAGAGGTTATCTCCTGGAAGGCTGTCAAAGAACAGACCTTTCTTTGGAAAGTGCAGGATTTGGACAACACAGACCTGCTGAGCTACTACTGCACTCTCAGTGAGTGGCTCATTCAGTTCTTAGAGTTCTGTCTCTCTCTTCCTAAAATGTTCAGATCCTTATGGATGGAAAATCTGGGAAACACAGCACTCATTGTAAACACACCATTCCTAAAATTCAGCTCCTCTTCAACAACCCGGGCTTTTGAACTGGGGCAAAGTCACTATGCCAGGATGACATTTTTTTTTTAACCTTAGAATGAATTCCTCCCAGGTGGCTCCTCATCATTCAGGTAACAAGGCTCCTGGATGACCCATGGCATCTACAGGGCACACCAGAGTCTGAATCACAGCTTATTTTCTGGATTGCCCTTGGACTCAGCAGGATGATTCCACATCTTCCAAATTCTAGATATCCTGATATCACAATATTTTTTATCCCTGTTTCTTAATAAAAGGGTAAATGGAGGTAGAGGTGTTTCTCAACAACCTGCAACAACACATTTTTCTTTCAATTATTCAGTACTTAATTGGAAATCAAAGCCCTTTTCTAATGTATTGATAACATTGGGAATTGATGACTATTGTGTAGTTGTACTTAATCTAAACCATGCTCATTCCTAACATGGGCTATGGAAGCAGCAGAGTGGCAGGTGACAACATATGCACTTCTCTCCCCCTCTGCCCAAAGCTGCTCGTAGTAACTGTCAAATGAGCAGAGGACAGGGGAAACAATAGGAATATTTTAAAACTGTGGTTTTCAGGATGGGAATGTATTAATATCATACAACCTAATTGTTTCCTTACTTTGCCTATATTGTTGTATATTGCCCAAGCTTCAGAGCTGTCAGAGCAAACCTCAAAGATGAGGAGCCAGCTGACAGGTAAAAAGCCAAGCAAAACAAAAACAGCCCGTTTCTCATTGACTAAGATTTTTAGTTCAATTACATTTCCTTGTGATCTAAATAGCCAGATGCAATGACCCATAGATAGAGCCAGTGTAGAAAATATTTCAACCTAACATAATAATGTCTAAAGGGGTTAGTAATTGTTCTACTCAATTTGTTTCAGCCATTCTATTGGAATTCCTATTAATTGGAATTGATTATAAATATATGGAACGTCATGTAGTGAAACAAACAACCTATTTAGAACACACCAAGTTTCATGGACAACAAGTAACAAATTACTTTTTAAAAATCAATACCAACCAGGCCAGGTGTGGTGACTCACACCTGTAATCCTAAAACTTTGGAGGCTGAGGTGGGAGGATTGCTTGAGGCCAGGAGTTCAAGACCAACCTGGCCAACATAGTGAGACCCCCATATATAAAAAAAAGAAAGAAAAGAAAAGAAGAAGAAAAAAATGAATAACGACATATACAGTGAGATCAAAGAACACTAGCTACCATCTACCCTTGGTTTAATACTCTTAAATCCTTGAGAAGGCTGGCATACATGGAGTCTCTCCAGGAAGACATTTGAGGCAGAAAACTGGAATAGGAGCAGGCAGTGTGTCATTTCATCATCTGAAATGGGAACTTTATTAACTTGCCTGAGTATAAAGTCAAGAAAGAAGGTATTTTTCAGGACTGTTTGATTAAATGTCATTCTGTTTATCAAAACAGGGAAATCTGGCAGCAATTTCTAACCATATGGGATTTTTGAAAATATATGAGAAACATGTGATTATGTGTTTAGCTGAGTATTATTTAAAATGTATGCAAAATCCTGAGAGGGCTTTTGAACTAAGTTCCTAAAATCATCCTCTGGTGCATTCTATTTGATATGCTGTTGTGTGCATTAAATTGTTCCAATAGAAATAAAGCAGATCCTTAATAAAACCAACCCGGCCCCCTTTAATGACCTGCTTCCTATAATTGTAAATTCCATAATCGTTTCTTTTGACTATAGGCAACATAACAAGACAAAACCTATAATGTTCCAAAGGAATAGAATCAATACAAAAACAAAGGTGTTTCATACTACTTACAGAAGATAAAGGTATCCTGCAAGCTGAATGATGGTAGATCAGCTTGTGCTTTTCTAAATCATCTAAATATCTTCAGTGCCTTTGATTACAGCCTCATGCCCAGTTCTTAAAAAATCAAAGTCCACTTTCAAGGAATGTCATTTAAAAACTGCTGATCATCTAAGCCTTGGGAGGTCAAGGACACTCTTATTTCCTTTATACTGACAAGTTTAATTTGATG